ACCAGGGGACCTGTCGAAGTAGCGCGTCTTCAGGCGCATCCGCGTCTGTTGTACAAGGTGCGCCACGAGGGTGACGTCCACCTTCACACACAAAAGACATGCGGTCAGAGAGAGCATTGTAGGCGTACGTGTAAATACAACTGTGCTTTTTAGCACGTTACCTGACGTTGCTGAAAGCGCAGATTTAGCTGGTTGAGCTCCCATAGCACATCCACGAGGAAGCGGATGAGCCAGTGGAACTTGAACGAGGTGACTACCTCGTACAAGTCCTTCTTGTAGTCCTTCAGCACGACGATGGCGGCAGGCAGAACGTCTAGGAAGCGCTGGACCGCCTCGCCACGGGAGAGCCAGCGCACTTCGTTTATGCCCTGCGCCTCCAGATTCGTCTGGCAGTAGACGCGCTGGAGATTTTGAAACTTGGTGTAGTCCACGCTGCTGCGGCCGATGTGCTCGGAGAAGGCACGCACCACGTCGTCCACCATGCCGAGCTCGGGGACTGCCTCCGCCGCATCCTTAGCAGCCAATGCCTCCCTGCGCATTCAACATAAGCATGTTAGTAAGGTTTGCGCGTCACTGATCCGGTGCTGGAAAACACTCAGACTCCAACATGCGTACCTGTGAGCGACGCAGTGAGTTGAAGCCAGGTGTGCTATGCGCAGTCGCAGCCTCGCGACTAGACCGTTGTTCTTGCCGGTCATGACACTCGCCCCATCTGTAGATATTCCAGAAATCCTCTGGAGATCCAACCCGATTCCTGTAAGGCACTGCACAACAGCAGAGGTTAGGGAGGCCGCATCGGCACGGTCCACGGTAATGAGAGTTAAAAACTCCGTTACCGGAGTTACCCCTTTGAAGAACATCGCATACAGTATCAGGTGCTTGCCATTCACCCGGTCGGTGCTCTCATCCAGAAGAATCCCTATGTATGGGGATTCCAGCAGGTGGCCGCGTTGAGTCTCTTGAAGGTAAGTGGCGGTTGCGCGCAGCATCTCTTTGAATCCGTAGCTGCGAGGACAACACACATGGCACACGAACACAAGTAGCATTAGCATCTGATCAGCTTGAGTCGCGGCCCAAACACAAGCGCCACGAAATCGCACTTACTCGGTGTAGTAGGCGCCGTACCCTCCAGACGGTGGAAGGTCCGGCAGTCCTTCCTTAGCAAGAAACCAGCACAAGGGAACAAACATGGCTATTGGCGCGTCAGCCTTGCAGATGAACAGCGCGATGTGGAGGCAGCGGATGATGTGCCGTGTAGCTGCATCAGTGCTCTGCCACCTTGTTAGTGTGGCTTGCTTCGCCTTCTCCGCGTCTGCTTTGGCCTCGTTGTCCAAGGCCTGCTTGTGGGCCCTGCTTGATGTGTGCGCGCGGATGCTCCCTAGCTGCATGTCTCGCGCACCCTCACCTCTGACGCCGTAGGCAGTGTGTGTGTTCGGATCCCCGTGCTTGATGCAGATGGCACATTTCAGTGAAGGCCTGCCGTTAGTCATGCGCATTAAGGGCAACCAACTGAATTTCTTTGACCAGTGCGAATCGAAAGTCGTTTTTACCAACTCATACTCAGCCTCTGCAGAAGCGGTAGGAGGCTTCGGCTGAGCAGGAGCAGCACGGCGTGGCGGTGATGCCGCTTGTCGTGGAGGAGGGGCGCCCCAGAGCCTCTGCTGCTTGTATGTCACGCCGACACGCTGTCGCTTCACGGGCGCGGAGCTAATTGTGGACGGGGCTGCAGTGGCCGGCTTCGACGGGCCTTCGCCGCCATCGGGAACAAGCTCGAGAGACGGGTGTGGCTCCCGGGACTTTGGCGAGGACGAACGCTCGCACGGGAAAACGGTGCCGACAAGACATTCAGGGGATGGCTCACGCGCAGGCTGAGAGATATGGACGCTATAGTTTTCAGCCAGCCGAGGTAACACACCGAGAACGGAGAGACCGTTCCTGGTGCTACCAGGCGGATCAGGCTCAGATGCAGGCATTCGGTAGAACAAACGAGAGGGAAACGAGAGAATGGCCAGAGCCTGAGAGACCCCTCGGGAATCACAAAGCCCAAGGCGCCTCAGGCCGCAAGGTTCCCTCGCTGGTAGGGAACTGCATTGCAATGGCTGCAAGGCCACAGTGACTGCCAGGTGGTGGAAACGACAGCACGTACCCCACCTGGCGCGCAATTTAGCTCCGTTGGCAGTGCGCGATGTTGCGTGACGCACGGTAACTGGGTGCGTTGGCTTCAATGTTGCTCAACGGACCAATCGTAGCTGTGCGGTGCCATCCGCATTGAATGTACGTTGGCGCGCCTGTGGGTGTATCCAACAAATGGTCCAGTGGGACCGTGGAGGAATTCGTCGTGGCGCGGACTGTGGCGGAATCCGCGGTATGGGAAAGTTTCGGTAAAAGGGTAGTTGAACCTCTACCCTGATACAGTCAGTGTAATTGGAAAAGCTTCAAGAGTACTTTTACGCGTATTCTGATTGCACTAGGGTAAAACTTTGCATACCCTGATTTGAAAAGGGTAACTGCCAAAAAGTGGCCTATGAGCAGGGCAAAAAGGGTAAAATACCCTTGAAATTTGGGGCCTGTCTATCGCCTCTGACAAAATAGTAGCTAAGACTAAGAAGCCATAGCTAGGTTTAGGGTACACGAAAGAGAAGTACAAGCAGTAGAAGAGGAAAGGTGGTTGAACTAGAAAGAAGCGGAGTACAAATAGCAAGCCCAAAAGGGTTATACTCACTATTGAGTACCCCACTACAGACTAGACAAGCATTATGTTCTGACACACCCCCATAGTCAAGGTGGGGTACAGCCAGCACAACAAGCATTCAGAGCTGTAGATCATAGTGATAAGCAAAGGCTAGAGACTAACACAGAGGGCAAGTGAGGAGGAGAAACTGTGGGGGGCGATCTGCTGCAGGCGATGGGCGAAGCTGCAGACACAACGGGCAACAGGAGCGGCGCGCACAGTGGCTACCGAGCGCACGAGGGCACCGGACTACGGGAGTATCTGGCTCCGCGGCTACGACGAGCACACACAGGAGCAACTGACCCACAGGCGACTGGCGAAGCAGGCTCGCTGGGCTACCGAGAGCACGACGGCTCCGGACTACAGGCGATGCAGACGACACGACAGCGACCTCCACTCTCCCCCCCCTAACAGTCCCACACCCCCCTATCACACACCCCTTTGCTGCATCCCTAGCCCCACTCACACGCCACCCCCACTTAAACCCTAACCCTCGGCTCCCACACATCCACCCCCCTCAGCGGCAGCTGCAGCAGTGGGAGACGAAGGAGGAGGAGGAGCAGGGGACGGAGCACACAACCAGCACCCCCATACGCGCCACCCCCACACGCGCCACCCCCAAACCCTAACAAAGGCAGCAGCGGGGGGGAGTGGGGGGGCGATCCGTAAGCGATTCGGGGGACGGCGGGCGGCTCCCCAGGGCGCCACGACGAGGCAGCGGGAGGGGGGGCGAGCGCGGCTCCCAAGGCGCCTCGACGGGGCAGCGGGGGTCGCGCGCGCGGCTCCCTAGGGCGCGGCGACGGGGCAGCGGGGTCGCGCGCGGCTCCCCAGGGCGTCGCGACGCGGCTGCGGGGTCGCGCGCGGCTCCCCAGGGCGCCGCGACATGGCTGCGGGGTCGCGCGCGGCTCCCCAGGGCGCCGAGACGTGGCTGCGGGGTCGCGCGCGGCTCCCCAGGGCGCCACGACGGGGCAGCGGGGGTGACGGGCGGGTCTGCTGCAGGCGACGGGGGGGTGGGGGGGGCGCTTCGACGGAGCAGCAAACCGCCGCGCGACCCGAACGCGCGGCGGGAAGAAAAATAAGGCGTCGCGCGCCACGGGGCGCGCGACAGACAGGAAAGCAGCGGAAGCACGTGGGGCCCACAGGCCAAGAGCGTAACCGCTCTGATACCATGTCAGAATCCCAGTCACTAACCACTGGGATAAAAGGGCTTGTTTATATAGCGGGTGAGTGCGCCCATAACCCCCCAGGCCGACGTGCCTGTAACCCTTCCCTAGGATCATCGGGGATCCCCAGTGGACCTCTGACACCCCCCCGCACTGGGATGCCCGAAGTGCACACACCGGGAATCGAACCCGAGACCTTCGCTCTGATTCCATGACAAAATAGTAGCTAAGACTAAGAAGCCATAGCTAGGTTTAGGGTACACGAAAGAGAAGTACAAGCAGTAGAAGAGGAAAGGTGGTTGAACTAGAAAGAAGCGGAGTACAAATAGCAAGCCCAAAAGGGTTATACTCACTATTGAGTACCCCACTACAGACTAGACAAGCATTATGTTCTGACAGCCTCTTCCTCCGCAATTTGGGAGAGGCATATGACCCAGCTCATGTGCACAGTGAGTCTTTATTTACCGTACTTCTGACAGCATTCTGTGATGTTAGTGTTGTTGGTGCACATGTCAACAACCGCATTGCACCTCTTTGTGTTTTTCTGTCCCACGCACCGTCTGCCATTTTCACATGTGGCATGTTCGGCATCAAGAGAATGGTGAGCCTCACAGCCCTTGTGTTCACGCTCTTATACATTCTCTACTGTTGGTAGTGATATTGCTGCCGTTGCTGGGCAAAAACGTACCCCACCAGTTCAGTGCTTGTTTGAAGTTCTGTGGCACTTCATTGTAAGGCAAGCGCAGAATGTGAGATTGTATCTTTCTCCCCTTTTCCAAGCAAGTGCCATTGGAGTTATGTACTTGTTGAAATTTCACATCTCCCTGCTCACACTGCAATCATATACCCGTGGCAAATCTCTTGCCTCCCAGGTACACATGGTGTGTCATGGTCCTTTGTCAACCTTGGTTTGGTGGACTCAAGGAAGTCAACTTTTCAAGAAGTTGTACCGTATTTAGAGTTGTAAGGATTCAAAAGTAACGCCAATGCTGATACGGTATGTATTAACAAATCAAATGTCCATCGTTTAAGACAAGTCGAGTTATCTAAGTAGTGTATTGTAAGAACTGACACATGCCAGTTCAAAAATATATCCCGTACACAAACTAAATCTGCCCATTGACACCAGCTGCTTGATCAAACCCTGCCTCTTCTGGAGGAAAAGCAACAACCACATCATCTGGTGGAAATAGGGCCTTCAGAATGCCAGGAGTTTTCAACAGCTGGCGACCAGAAATCTTTGGATAAACATCTACCAAGAAGTAATACACATGTCCTGCCGCCATTCCCTGAAGTCAGCCACAGACAACAGAAAACAAGGATAGATGGTGAGAAATACATCCATGACAAACGAGTGCAAAGCCAGCCAACTTGTGCTCACCAGAAGATCTACCACAGGGCTACTTCCCAGAAGAACAGAAAATCCCAAGAGGACCTGCGAGACGATTGAAGCATAGTGCATGGTATGTGAGGATGGTGGAATGAAAAACCCCAACCAGCAACTTCACTCCCAAGTAATATTGCATACCCAAGGTAGGTAAGGTGCTGTGAAGTTGAACAACCCAAGGAAGCTCATTTGAATATTAGGGTTGCGCCTACCCCATACGTACACCTGCAATAGGACTTAGGTAAATGAGTATACTCGAATACAAAACAAGAAACGGAAATCACTTCAGAACAAAGAAGCCAAAGTACATCCACGCACCATCATAAATGTAAGTGATGAACCGAGAAACTGGATGTTTACGAAGGGAGCAACCATTGTTAACAAGACTCCGCCAAAGAGCAGCATGAAGAAGAAATCAGCGGTGCGGCCGCGGAAAGAAGTCTCCTCAAGCAGTTTACAATATCGACAGAGGAAGAACATGTGGAAAACGAAATCGATGCCTGCAGTGACACCCGAGGCATGGTTAACGAGCTGACAAGTTATTTGCGAGAAACTCCAGACTTAAAATACTCACCGATACTCCCAAAGAAGAAAAAATTCGTGAATAGCCGCCATAGCTGGAACTTCTTAAAAATCAGGTTGGAGTTGAAATATACAGAAAACGGCGAGATGACCTGCAACGAGGATGCGAACAAGGCTTAGGATTCCTATAGATGAGTGAAGATAAAAGACACACTCATAGAAGGACGTCATACTTCGAGTGCGCAACCCGCGGTTGTCAAGAACGAAAGTGTCAGGTAAGACCTGGTTATTATGGGCATCTGTTTGTACCAATCTTCAAGGGTCTGGGCCATGGTGTAAGACACTGTGAAAGAAGCTGCACCTGCTCTAAACTAAAGCCAAACAGTGTCGTGAAGAGACGTAGTAGATGTACGCTTTTGTAAACAGGTGTGCTGGAAAAGATTGTCAGCTCAACTACTGCCGAATGCGTACCGCGGACTTCACTGCAAAGAGTCTCTGAGAGCCTTTGCGGTCAGCACCAAGACCAAAGGTGAAGAACGCGTTGTGGAAGAAGCTCGCAAGGGGGACACGCAGGTGTTGAGGCAACCGACCAATCGAATGCTCCCCTCTAGCGTTTCCACCAATCAAGCCACGCATAGCGGACTGGGTGAGAGGATCCACCAACTCAATTCTAAGCTGCCAGTAAGAAGTACACACACGTAACATAACGCATATAAATATATGGTATGTGACTTGTGACAACGAATTCTGATTTACCATGGACATTGTGGTATCACAATTTTTTGACTGCTATTATCACATAACAAGCCATACATCGAATTTGGTTACATTCGAAACCAAACGCACTAGGGCCAGGTGTCCTGCAGTATTTATTAACAAACCATAACTTGATCACATGCCTGAAGAGCTTGGTTAGCGAAGTAACGAACATCTGGATCAGGATCCTCATTGAGCTCCAATAGACAAGGTCGGATGGTTTGCTCAACGACCTGCAACAATTAGGCAACCAAAACAATTACATACTCAGTCACCCAACAGAATGGAACTCACCAGCATAAGGTAGAGGTAAGCCTAGCCAAAACTTACGGATGGCTCAACAATTGGTATGAAGGACTGAAGCATCTTGGCAACGTTAAAGCGGATGTTCGGTACACTGTGGGCAATGAGGATGGTAACATGATAATGTTCATACATTCCACAAACCGAACTTGACACCAAATAAGGGCACAATTACTTACCGGTCCTTGGCGGCATTCAGGATAACAGGAAGCATTGTATTGCAAGTTGCTTCAGCACCAAGAACTGGGGCCAACATGGAGAGAGAAAGCAGGACTGTCATTCGATACAGGTAGTGAGAGTTGTTCACTTTATCCATGATCTGCAAAACAGCAAACATTTCCTTGTGAGTGAAAGGTAATACAACAAGCACGGACCTTGCTGACATGACACCTACCATTGGCAGGATTTGAGATTGGGCCCATTCAGCACCAAACTCTTCAGCTAAACGTTTCAGGTTTGTCGCAGCTGCTTCACGAATTGAGTACACCTGCAATGCCAACAAACAAAAACATGACAGAAATGAGGAACTGCACAAAAATACTGCTAAAAGTTTGCACCTGAAGCAAGAAGCATGAAGAAATACTACTTACTTGGTCTTCAAGCCATTGCATGCACAACGACTTTAACTTCTCATCAAAGAACTCCATTCCAAGTTGGCCAGCCAAGAGAGGAATGTACTCAATGATGGCAAGTCGCACTCGCCAGTGCCTGTCCTCTGACAATTCCACAATAGCTGGAAGAAGCGACTGTGACAGGAGGTCCATTCCAATGACTTGATTGACTTGATCCAGCTTGCTGATTATGTTGAGCCGGACATCAGGGAACTCATCTTTTAGCAGAGCCAGGAAAATTGGTAGCAGAGTTTCAATGGTGAGCTCCTGTGGAGTGCGGGCGGGCAGACTACATGAGCACATAACCAAACTGAAAAGAGAGATGGTACCAGCGCATTGACGGAAGTGCACCTTGCCAAGAAGCGGAGCCATCCCCATGATGACAGATGCCAAGGCAGACCGCACATGTTGAGAAGTATCTGTTGAAAGATCCTGAGAAAGTAATTGACATGCAAACTGTGAGTAAACGGATGGTTTTAAGAATGCATGTTTTATATAAGTGAGGGAAATCACCCACCTTCACACATGGTAGAATGACATTGAACGCTTCGCCATTCTTAACAATGGCACAGATCTTAGTCACTTTGCCAGCAGCCGCAATGCGGACCTCTGCCTCATTGTCCCTCAGAAGCTTCACATACGCAGGGACAAGCTCCGCCCTGGTTGGAGAAAAACCAATATTAGAAAAATGTGACCAGGAGAGACGACTGAACGCAAAGGAAAGCCAAGCACCTTGCCACTTCGGGACCAACGGCCTCACAAAGCTCGTGAAGCTGGTTCGCCACCATATAGCGCACTCGCCACGACTTGTCCTGCCAATTGACAACAGTGAGAAGTTATGCCAATGCTATCAGTTAAAAACGTACTAATTAGCCCAACGCGGCATTTGAAGGAGGGTGGACCTGGAGGGAGGAAACGCGATGTGTGGAGAGCAACAATGCTGAACGACATACCTGGGCAAACGACAGAATCACAGGAAGGATGCTGGAAATGCAATCCTTCTTCTCCAGGAGCTTTCCGACCGCAGCACATCCTTCGACAGCCAATAGTCTCACAGAATCCTGATCTGCGAAACGAATGGAAGAGATATTAGCTACACGAACTGGGTGAAGACATCAAAATTCGTGCAGGCCCTAAAAGACTCGTACCGTCATTCGTAAGGTCTTTAAAGAATTTGAGAATGTCAAGCTTCAGGAACTGCGGCTCCACCGTGGCGGCAAACTTGCCCATGTTCAGTGCAGACGAGCGACGGACCATCGGCATGTCGTCATGACTAAGCTGTCCGTAAAGAGTTCGAAGATCTGCTCTTTGCTGCTCGGTCGCGCTGGGATAAGCGATATGGAACAGCCCACAAGCAGACACGCGAGCTGTGAACCATTCCCCCGCTCCAAGCCTCTGGCAATACAAGAGGATTTTAGATTAATTAGTTACCTTTACACATTCGAAATTCTAGCCGTCCAGAGGAATACACTAGGAAATGCATGGCACCTGAACAAGTGGAACGAAGAACTCGACAATGTCTCGGGGCTTCATCTGTTGTCCGATCTTGCACAAGGACTCAACGGCCTTATCCCGGACAACAGTCTCTTCAACCGTGCATAATGTCTCTAACGGAGGAAGGAGCACGGGAGCGTAATCGACACCACCCACGTACGGAATGAACGAACCAAGCTCTTCTGCCATGGCAAGTAGAACTTCATCATCATCGTCATTGTTCTCGTTCAGAAAGGGGATAAGCTCCTTCCGTGTTCGGTCCTCGCCAAGTGCTCGTGCGATGGTGCTAAGGCGTCTGATTGAGTTCAGTCGAAGCTGGATATCGTCATTCTTTAGCTCGTCTATCAGAATGGCGATAGGATACAATGGCTCCTCAACGACGGCCATGTTTGTGGCCATTGAATGAGATGCCAGCTGGCCAGAAGGTATCGATCTTCCTCTAAATAGTACAGACTACCAAACGTCGCAAGAGTATCTTACACAAAGACCTTCGATCTATGCCAAACTGCTTCGAAGGACTAGGGTTTCGGAGGGGGAGACAATCCTACAGCAGTTCTGGTTGGGGTGGGCGTGGTGCGTAATAACAGGCAAAGCGAGGTATGGGACAGGTGTGAAGGGGTGCGGGGATTGGCGCTGTCAGGTCAGAGGTTGGTCGAGCATTATCCGAAAATGGCGCGAGATTGGGGATTGAGTAACTCGTTTGAAGAACAATTTCAAGCACACAACCAGAAAGTCGTACGACTTGTGTTGTCCTCTTTTGTTATAAGAATCTATATCAATGTCGAGAACCCAGGTAATGAGACACATCCTCTTGCTCGCTCTCTCAAATCACTTGCAGGCTGGTCAGAAAGCGCCACATTCCAGCCACAAAGTCCTGCCCAATAACTGGCGTGCATTGGCAGCACATGTGCACCAGAATTTTATTTTCAACCTCTAATATCTCGCCATTCACAAGCAAAGGTACCCACGTGGCCACACAGCCAAACCCCTCACATCTCCTTGAGAGGGGTGGTAAAATAGTTTTCAGAGTCCCAGGTGCAACTAAACTCTCCCATTAAATCTCGGGTCATTTTGCGGGATCAGTATTTTACGAAAACCACGCGGTCCTATTTGGAAAGTACAGGCACAAAACCAGGAGTATGTAAAGCTGGAACATCCCACTCGTGCCTGTATCCTGACTAGGCGAAAAAAAAGGTCAGAAAAGAGGTGAGAGATCAGGAGTTTCTCCTGGCAAGTAGTTTTGAAAGCCGACTCTCAGAACTGGGATGGATCATTTTGTGCAAATATGCTTTTGATCTCGACCCTCCAAAACCAGAAATCCAGACAGAAAAAAGCCACAATCTGCGCTGGATTCGGTGCAGAGCAAAATCAGCCGTCCGATAGGCACGACGATGTACGGTGGATGAAAAGCCGATTTCCTACCACAGGTAGCCTACCCCACCAATTGCGGGAGGGTCAGAGTGGAGGTAGGGGGGGACCACCTCCACTTGAGTTGTCGCAGGATTGCGTTTTCTTCTTGAGCCACGTGCTTCCTTTCCTCCTCGCCAACAGCAAGGTACAGGTCACAGAACACGAGTGCCCTGAAGAGAAGGCTCAAGAAGAAGCAGACATAGACTTCCTTCTACTTTCACCCTACAAAGCAGACTCGCTCAGCGTGTCTTTTCCTTCCATTCCCCCTCAAACAGGTTAACATTGTTCAGTCATCGTCTTCCCTTCCCACCATAGTGTCCGCTCATCTTCGAAGCTCGAGGTTAACCGTTTCAGCCATCAAAACTCGCTGTTGATTACTCTTGGTTTTCAGAAATTGAAGCTTCTCTGTTAAGAAGAGCCATGTCGAACATTACGTACCGCGACAATGTGACGGATGTAACGAGTCAGCCTTGTCGATACTAACTTCGTGTCGACTAACCGAGGAGCGTACCCTAATCTCACAGCCATCGCGACCTAATCAGAAAGAGCGAGTGAAGAAGCACCGTACGATCTTACCTATCTTTGAAACAGAGGACAACCGGGCGCGGCTAGAAGGAACGCTCCTCATCGCAGCCTCGTTTTGCTAGTACGCCAATGGGAGGTTGTCTTAGCCGACCGCATGCCGAGGACTCTCTTCCCACGCAAGCCAGCGGCCAGCACAGCAAGTACACCACACCAGAGAAGTCATCTGTAAGGTTGAATCAGGCAGGCGCAGAAGGCAAGGAGGTTTCGCACACCCCAGCGCAGCGATCCAAGTCGCGGGAAGGATCGGAACACGGCGCGGTTCGAGCAGCGCGGTCGCGAGACAACTCGGAGC